AAAAAGTTTTCCCAAACAGCTTAGAAGTGTTATAGGTCTATAATTTTCAGGTTTACTAGCATCACCTTTGTTTTTATATATATTGGATTATTATCCCAATAGTCCACTTTTCAGGTATAACACCTTTTTTCAAATACTAAATTAAAAAGTTTGAAATACGTATCTTTCATTAAACTATATGAGCATTTTATTTGTTCGTTAACTATTTGGTCTAACCCACATGCTTTATTATTTTTAACATTTTTACTGCCTTATCAATCTCTTCATATGTGATAGGACAATTGATAGATTCGTTTTGGTTTGATTGCTCATTATTTTCTAGATCAAATGTGTTATTGTCATTAATTGTTCCATCATTTGAAAAATTAACATTTCTGAAAAAATTCATACATTTCATCGATACTTGCTTCCGTTTTGCATTGACTGTTATTATTACAAAGTAAAATTCCAATATTTCCTGGGATCTTTGATTTTTAATTTGCGAAATTTATCAATGTTTTCTATTCAAATGTTTATTTTTAAACGAACGCATAGTATTTTGTATATCTTACTTTTTTCTTTAAGATTATATTTTGTTTTCGTCAGTTTTCCTTTAATTTATATAAATATTTTCGCTCTATGAAAGTTTCTTCTTGCTTTCCTACACTGATATCCAAACCAAGAGCTATTGTTATTTACTACTTCATTGTTGTTTTAATTTTATAGCGAAATGCTTCCTCAGAAGTTTTAAGAAAATAGTGAGGAGATATTTGTAACTAAATCATCTGCATTTTGCTGATTAAAATTGTCGCTATTTTTCAAACGTCAAGTTTTTCATTTAATTCCTCTATAAGATTTATATCAAATTTCTGTAAAAAAGCTTTCATTTTCTTATTGTCCCATAATTTAATATAGATGGTTCAGTATTATTAACATGTTCAACAATTTCAATTTGGTTAGTATTCAATGTTAAAAGAATAGGATTATGTGCATCTGATAAATGGACAAAAATCTTTAACAGTAAGATCGAGTACATTTTTAAACAGATTTGAATTTACATATAAATATCGACGGTACTGGTACCTTTATAAGTAGTACTTCCGGTGTAATCGCCAGAAGTTCGACCATTTAATATATACATATTATTTAATTGTAAAAAATCAATAAATCTATTACCGTAACTGTTATTATGTTTATCGGTGTTATAACGTAATAGCTTTACATTTTGTGCATTTTGAAATTTACTCATTTCAGTATCAAATTCATCGCAAAGAAGTTTTGGTTTTCCAAAAAACGTCTATCGACTGTAATAAAATCTTCAGTTGATTTTGTACGTGAATTGTAATCTCCAAACAATATATACGATGAGTAATTGTCCGATAGGCGATTGAAATCGTCTTGAATTTCGGAAAAAGGGTCGTCAACTGCATAGTCCGAGTATTCGGGTGGTATATACACAACACCACAGAAATGTCTGTTTCAGATTTGCATAAAACCTTAGATATCTTAAACCATAATACAAGATCATTATCAGATTCTATGACTGTAACAAATTTGGATAGATTTTTTTTAACTGCTAGAGCTAGACCGCCAGACTTTCTTCTGGTTTTTCTTTTTCGATATTTGAAGTATACATCATAATTTTGTATTTCAATATGATCCAAATTATCAGCTTTAATTTCCGGAAAACCAATTATACTGTGATCATTCACCAACTCGTTAAATTCCGGGCAGTGCAATTTTGATTTAAGTCCGCAAACGTTTAAGGATAAAATCTTAATATTTTTGATTGCAAAGGATGATGTCTCAGTTTCACGTCTGTCGGAATTTGCTATCGCGGTAAAGGAAGAATTTAAGTCGTCTGCATTTTCATATTGGCTTAAGTTGTACGAAGAATTTGTTTGTATGTTATTATTATTATCATTATTATTGTCATTATTATTATTATTATTATTATTATTATTATTATTATCATAATTATTATTATTATTATTATTATTATTATTATATTATTATTATTATTGTTATTCGAGTTTAAGATTCTATCATTCTGACAAACATTTTCATTTAAATAAGTTTGGTCTGTCACAGAAATTGCCGCTTTGTGTAAATTTTTCAAAAACTAAGCAAAGATTGCCGGAAGTTGTAAAATGGAAAACAAACAGCTATAAAAAACGAGATAGTACCAAGTACTAAACCAAACATAAAGTGCACATATCCAAAAATAACAGAAAAATACAAAATAATTGAAACAATAATAATCAAATAAACAACCGTCAATATTTACAGTAAACGGGTTTGCATATACATGTTGATCACTATTAGGTTTAAGCACTGGTTCATATACTTCAAAAGTACTGCAACAATAAATACACAAGTACTGACCTACTAATCTCATAGTCATTTTACAGTTACATGTATGATATATAACATGACTAAAATAATCGATGCATTTACAGCGACAGTATACAGACGGGCACATGTTTTGAAAATAATCATCTTTGCCATTATATTGATTTGTATAATGATAGCCATCAAAAAAGTCAATGAAAAATCTATTTATCAAATTGTCATTATCAAAAAAGTGACTGAAAACCTCAGTATCAATTTGTTTGTGGCAAAGTTGTGTCAGATTTTGATTTAATGAATTATGTTCAATTTCAATATTTTTATAACAAGGATAATCTACATACCAGTTAAGAATATACTTATTTTTTTTTCACAAAAACATAATTTGTTTTCAAACATATTGCATCTAGGCAGCGATGAATAGCTTGCAATGCCATTGCTCAAAATGTCATTTCAATTTGATAATTTCTGATAATTATGATAATAATTTTTGATAATGTTTAATAATTTTCCTCATATGTACCATCGAAATGACCTTTCGGTTAAGATATTTTCAATAATGAGGTTTACACATCAATATGCCAAGACATCATATAATTATATATTCCGATTTTTGACCTGTAGTATACTAAGCCCCAACAATTATATTTATTTTTATTTGTCAAAAACTTTTTTTTTAGTCCTGTTTCAGATTTTTCCCCCAAAATATTCATCTGATCATAAAGCAAAACTATCTTTTCTGTTTTATATATTAATCGCACGGATAGTTATAGTGATTGAGTATATTGTATGACATTCAGAGTATCAAACCGTTTACATTTTGCTACTTTTAGGACAAATAATGTCACAATTCGCGTGACTGTCTAACATGCATGTTTTTTTTTCTATAAATTATACGGGATTTATTTCTTGTGGTATGAATAAATTTTCATCTTGTTGTATGAAAATTATCATAATTAACTCATTGTTACCGCTACTGATGAAGTAATTATTTTCATACCACTCGAAAAAAAAAATCCTGTATTTATATAAAAAATCGAATATTATCCATGCATTCGATTTCTTATACGAGTTGTACTTAAATATTTGCATTCATGCAAAGTGTACAGAGAAATGTTTACGTAAAGGTGTAAGCATAAAATATAATTGTTATGAAAGTATCTTTAAATCTAGAAATGTGTCCACGAGATCAGTTGCCACAAATGTCAGTCTTCTGACTGGCTGTATAATAATGGAATATGACATGATACGTGTATGATATCATATGATAAATGAAACAATCTCAAATGCTAAGGTAAGGACAATTTATGAAGCGGTTGTTTGTTTAATGCTGTACATGTATTAAATGGCACAAAAAGATAAACTAACACACTCTACCGATGTAAAATATCAACAGCAGTATTCAACATTTACCATGATAAATTTTTGATTTTTTAGATATCTGAAGCTATGTTCATACGGCAGTTATCATTGAACCTTCAATGTGACACGTCAGAACCATTCCATGAAAAGGGGCGTATGACCCTCAAGTAAAAGAATGCGTTTGTCCTAAAAACATATTAACTATGCCAATAAAAAGCACTACTTTTGTGTGACCTTTAAACATTGTTTTATGTTATTTTCAGTTGCGCTCCAGTGAAATCATATGGATAAGGAAAAGGACAATAAGGACAGTGATGCACACTACCAATGCTGGAATAAACATGATTTACGATAGATATGTCAAATTTTTTAAATATATAAATCAAGTTTATACTTGTTGTTTGTCTTTTATTAACCAAATGGCTGATATGACACAGTTACTGAAGATGATATATGCCTTGCATGCTCGATCTAGTTTATGTTGAGTTTTGGTTTAATTTAATTGCTTTATCGCAAACAAATGAAGAAAAATGAGATAAAATGCACAATTTTTGTATTAGAAACGAATGAAATTGAAAAGGATAAAAAGTGAGCGAAATATTCAATGAAAAAAAAACAAAAAAACAACCCTCGACAATATGATGAACGTGACGCAAAATGTCCCTTACACCCCGTACACATTGAGCTGCGACTTTAGGACGATCATGCCGATCAAGCCACGATCTGAAAAAGTATTGGGTCGATGTCCAAATTGAACAATTTGACAAATTTTGTCTTCATTACGACTGTACTACGATGTTCTCGCGTCCAACGCGCTGCTGACACGCTTCTACTACGATGTTACGCTGACAGATGCCGACCAGCGGCCGCGTTTACTGCGTTAATACTACGCTGCCTCTACGACATTCAAGCTCGCACTACGACGCTACGCAGACCTAAAAGACTGTACGACGATTTCGCTACGACGGTGCCGATCATATCACGCTTGTAGTAAGCTTCTGGTATGATTTGGGCGATGATATATATATCTTGTGTTTCAAAAATTACTTTTTATTTACTTCCAAATTTCAAGCATGAACGGACGTATTATTGCTGATCTGATTCATCTGGCTTTACTTCAGCAAGAACAAAGTTTAGTTGAAATTGAAATTGCACAGATTGTTAACAGGCGGAGGCGCAGAAGAAGCCAAGAATATACTTGGTACGATCATGGCTACTATCTGCAGATAGGAGACTCTAGTTTGAGCAATATGATACACTGATGAGAGAACTCCGAATGGAAGACACCCCTTCCTTTGATGGAACCAGCGATGTTCGATGAACTGCTTGAGAGAGTTGGCCCTAGGAATCAGAAAAAAGATACATGCTGGAGAAAAGCGCTACAACCAGGCATCAAGCTCGCCATTACTATCAGACATCTTGCTTCAGGAGAAAAGTACCATAATCTCATGTATAACTTCAGAGTTGCTAAGAATACGATAGCGTGTCTCATACCTGAATTTCTCCAGGCCATTTGTGAGAAATTTAAAGATGAAGTAATAAAGTCTCTTGACGAATGGTTTCTCATAGCAGACCAGTTCAAAAACAGATGGAATGTTCCAGATTCATGCGGTGCACTAGATGGCAAACACGTGGCCATCAGATGTCCCCCAAACAGTGACTCGCTTTACCACAATTACAAGCACTTCTTTTCCTTAGTGCTACTAGCACTGGAAGATGCGGATTACAAATTTCTATGGATCGACTGCGGAGGTCTTGGTTCTATGTCTGATGCTCAAATTTAACGAATCTGAGCTGAAACAGTGCCTTGAAGACAGATCGATTGGGTTTCCAGCGCCTGACCCACATGACAACGAGCCGATACCCTACTTCATTCTGGGTGATGATGCATTTGGGTTGAGAAAATATTTGATGAAACCTTATTCGCAAAGAGGTCTAACCAGAGAGGACTTAATCAAAACTACTGAATATCAAGGAGTCTTTGTGTGATTGAAATGTGATTTTGGTATTTTGACACAAAGATGGCAGGTATTACTCACCACTTTGCAGCAATTCCCAGCAGTGATACAAGACATCATAGTGTGTTGTGTATGCCTTCATAACCACATGAGATTGTGCTACCCGGCGTTACAAAATGCCAACTTGACCAAGAGGATGATAATCACTATCCGAAACCTAATGCATGGAGACAAGAAGGTAACATGCACGAGGTACAGATGCAAAGAGGAACAAACAGGGACATCATCGCTGGGAAAAGACTGAGGGAACTACTTAAACTATTTTTAACAGCCAGGTAGGATCGGTACCATGGCAGGAAAGAATGATTCTTCACTAGTTAGTGTTATAATGTACAATGTTGTACATTTAAAGCATTATATGTGCGGTCTTAACAAGAAATAACAAATGAAATAACGTTTTACAATTACTGTTTGCGAGTTCAGATAGTTTTTGTGTAGGGATTGTTTTGAATATGAATGTTTTACCTGCTGCGATTTCGGATTAAGTTCAGATTGTGCAAATGTCTCTGCAGTTTTTTTTTAAATTATAGTCAGGTCTAGTATGTATGTTTTTTGCAGAAGGAATTAAGTGTTTTATGCAAAAGAGCATTAAAATTATGTTTTTGAATTATATTAGTTTTTATCATATTAGGAGTTACTCTCCATACGTGAGTCATTTAGTAAAACAGTACCCAAGTAAATTCAGGTAAAGTATGGAAAACATCGAAGAAATGTAGCCGCACAAAGATTATAGGCAAATCAACGTGCCTGAGTTTATGGAGTAATGAACGATACTAGTATACAGACAAAAGCAATTGGTTATATTAATTTTAGTATTTATTCATATACTTCCTGTATAAAATATTCAGGCATCATAACTTTTTTGACCACAAAAGCTGATGGTACTAACCATAAGGCGTTTTTTATAAACAAAAAGATTTTTTTTACAAGAACTAAGACTCATTCTTAAAACATGCACACATACATACATACGCACAGACACACGCACGCACGCACGCAGACAGACAGACAGACAGACATAACAACTAAATTTTGATTGAAAACCAAACAGTAATACAATCGAGTTTATACAAGTATTAATTTTATAAATGCAAATTTTGAACTAAAGTTTATGTGCAAAATTGTACATACATGCATGCATCAGAAATCCAATTGATCTGATTTTAGAAACAAAAAGAACTACTATTGTCAATTAAGTGCATGTCTGACAAGACTTCAAAATGACAATAAGAAGTTTGACTGCTTCAAAGAAATTGATATCGCTAGAACTGCATGTGTCTATTTATCGTATTATTTAGCGTTTACTGCTGCTGGAGTCATCCATATCTTACAGTGAACTAAGGCCTGCAAACACAATACTTGATCCCTCTTGTGATTGTCTACTAGTGGGAGGGTTACACGTTTGCTTGTCTAACTGCTGAAACTGCTGCTGCTGCACCCAAGCACGTTCCTGAGACACCCCCACAACTTGGGATGGCCATTGTGAGGGATTAGGCTGCCATTGCATGGAACAGGGATCACTATCCTTGTTTGAGGAAAGGCCATGTCTAGACTGTACCTGTTGTTGCTGCTGCTCTTGCATGTCAGTGTAGCGGCTGACCAATTGTTGTACGTCAGTCTGGAAGCGACCCCAAAGAGTCTTATTTAGGCCTGCAAACAACTGGAAAAAGTGGCAAAAAGTCAATATTTATACTTTCAAAGTAAAAGTTCTTTATGAGTCCAGGTCAAGTTAAGTTTGATTTAAATCAAGGTCTTGTCCTTACTAATGATGTACATGTATCTAAATATAAAGACATAAATAAGAAAGTTATACACAGTTACAGCTTACAATCAACACATTCAATAATCTGACACTGAAGGTCAAGTTCATTTATGACTCATAATCAAAGTCAATGTAGTCAACTTGAGGAAACATTTCAGATGATAGATGTGTCCAAGTATTCATTCATTAATAACAAAGATATAGCCACTTTGGCATATTTTTTAGGATATTTTCAAACATAAAAAGGTTGAATGATTATGTCAACCTTTAACTATTTGATAAATAGAAATTGACACACAGAGAAGTGAAACAGTGTTGTTACGAGTTTTAACAAAGTAGCTGATAAAAAAAATAACCATTTGTATTACAGAAGAACTGGATATGTGGTCAAGGCAACATCTGAGGAGGAAAAAGTAGATTTTCAGAGACAGGTAAGTATAATGCTTTAACATTATGAATATATTTTACAGCAGAATAGCCACCTAAAATGCACAATTCTAATCTTTTGTGAAGGAAATATCCTGTTTTGTTATCATTTTAAGAGGTTTCTTTAACTCACCTGCCAACTGTATGTTAACTTGCCAGTCTGTTTGTTGGCAACAGTAACCTTTATTACAATCATGATGATTTGATTGTTGTGTGTTTATTATAAGGCAGCTTTGAAGCAGCATGCCTCCAGATTCATGCTAAATTTCATGAAAATTTTGAGAATGAACTTGATGTTTGATATTGTGAAATAACCAAAAAGCGGCAATGTACACATTTCAATGACACTTACAACCGCCGTAAATTACCAAAAAGTGGTCAAAATATGCATAAATAGCCCTTACTGTGTGTTAGTAACGCAATAGAAATATAGTTGTAAATACTGAAAAATCAGTCATTAATCTCACAGAACAGGTAAAATATTACTTGAATCTTGAATCTTTTTACTTTCCTAAAATGTTAGTACATTTTTCTTGAAATTTGATTTCATTGAAATATTTTGACTCATATGGAGGCATGTAGCTTTAAGTACAAGTTTGACTTTATATTGACATTATTTCAGGAGAAATTGAGGTTTGCAGAGCCGCATAAAGCATATACATACGAGATGCATGGTTACCAGTCAGTCGTAGGACCAGTATTTTCAGCAAGAAAAATGACACAAATAGAGCGAGGGAACACGCGTTACTTATCTCCAGCAGGCCTGCATTTATAACTATATTAACCTTAGGTATATCTATAGTCTGGTTGTGAATATAAATTATTTTACATGTGTTTATTTGAATATCACATTGGATTATGAAATTCTAATTATAAGGAAGTACATGCAACTCTCTAAAGGTCTTTGTGCTTGTCAAGTGCCTGTTTAAGCATTTTCTCCATAAATTCAGATTAGGTTATAAACTATAAACTAAGTTTGGAACTTTATTTTGACTGTGCATTGAAGAAACAGAATAAACGTATATGTTAAACTGACGGTTTTATTTTATTGCAACATTCTTACCTCAATAAGGCATAAGTCGTTGTCTTCTTTAGTTGTTGTTTTCCATTTTTATATACATTCTTTGTACTAATGCAATAAATTCAAAGAGATTTATAGTTATGTTAATTGTAAAGATAAGAAAACTACATGTATTTGTTTTCAGTGAGGGATTCTGTTGCTAGGTTACCAAATGGAGAAGGAAATAGGGCTGAAATTTGTGAACTTCTTAAAGATTCACAGTTTCTTGCACCAGGAATTACTGATGCACAGGTTATATGATGTATTTAGTTATTTAATTGTAATTATGACATAAATACACTGAAAATGATAGTTATATCAACTTCTTTTAATCCTGTTTCTCAGGGTGTGAAAAGTTGCCCTGATGTTTATTTTAGATTGATAACAAACTTTTACAGATCTTATTGAGGACTTTTATGTAGCGGATAAATTAATCAAATCTTGCTTTAAATAGCTAAAGATTGGACGCACTTGTCATATAATGATGTTTAATAGATTGGTTAGGTAACTTGAAATAGTTCAGTGAGATTTGAATAATGTTTTCTTGCAATACCGTTGACATACATTTTTGCCACAACTCAAGGAAAAGCAAAATGCATGTGAATGCAAAATAGTACCTATATAAAATAAGTTAGATAATTGCAAAATAAGTCTAAAAAGAGGCACAAAGGATCATGACTGTGCAGAATACAAGTAGTTGAACATTTCTGTGTCATTTCAATACTTGTTCATGTGACGTCATCACATGTGACTGGTATATTTTAAGAAATGCCCACGACTCTTAGTAGATAAAGTATAATTGCTTTTTAGATCATTGCTTATCTTTGAAAAGTGAATGCATTCATGCTGGCAGTTTTACCCAATAATGCCATATAAGCATGCATGATTAAAGCTTTATCTAATGATTTTTTTTTTAATTTTTAAACACTAAAATTACAGGTATGTTGTTTTCATGATATTTTGGTTAATTCTTTAAGAAGTTGTAACATAGAATGCCTCTGTTGAATATTATACGTAAACAAATAAAATTATTAAAATAATATTATATGTAAACAATAAAATGTTTCAGAACAAAGTATTCTGCTGATCTTTAAGTACCGCTTTAACCATTTAGCAATAATTTTGTGCATGCTCCATTTACTAGAAAGGAAATGTACAAACACATTTCTACGATACAGATATTCTGGAAGAAATATTTGTTCAAAATTCAAACAATAATTGAGTTAACTACATGTAGGAGATATATAGTTTCATACACTGTAACACCATTCTATCTATTTTTTTTTACACACTTTATTATGTGTCAAAATGTAAGTTAAATACTTTAATTGTATATATATTTAGATCAATGTTGTTGTTAGTGGAGCTCTTGATAGGCTTCATTCAGAGAAGGACCCTTGTGTAAAGTATGATGTCAAGAGTAAAGTATGGATCTATCTGCATAGAAATAGAACTGAGGAAGAATTTAGTAAGACAATGAAGTTTGTAACTTGAAATAAATTTGCTGTAGATGTTCAG